TAAAACTAAAAAAAGACGAAATTACCCTTTTGGCAAACGAACTGTGTGAAGAGCTACAAACGATTGGGAAACCGAGTGAGGCTGCGAAAATCGCGTTGGATTATATCGGAGATTTTAAAACTGGGATAAATTTGTTGATTTGTGCAAGGGAATGGGAGGAGGCTTTGAGGGTTGCTTTGATGGATAGGAGGGAGGAGTTGGTTGCTGACGTGGCGACCGGAGCGGTTGACTGTGCCGCCACGTTGGTGGCTGAGTATGAAGAAGGGGCGGAGAAAGTGGGGAAGTATTTGGCACGGTATTTGGCGGTCCGGCAGCGGCGGTTGGTGCTTGCCGCCAAGATTCAGGCGGAGGAGCGGTCGGTGAATGACTTGGATGATGATGCTGTTTCGGAAGCTAGTAGCAGTTTTAGTGGAATGAGTGCTTACACCACCGGGTATGAATTTTTACTTATTTGCCCTTCTTTTTTTCTTTCCAACTCATCCCATGTTAAAATTGATGAATGTTGTGAAATTAGTTTTTTGGAATGCAGGGGTAAAATGGTCATTTAGTTTCATTCAGATGGATTATTCAGTCTAGAAAACACTTTTTATCCAGCCAGTTTTTCATACAAAACTTTATGGAGGAAAAAAAAAGAAAAGAAACAGCACCTTAATCATATATAATACCATAATAGAGTAAATTACATTTTTGGTCCCTGTGGTATACTGCTTGTTTCGGATCTGGTCCTGAAAGATATTTTTGTTGCTTTTTCGATCCATCTGGTACCATTTTGTCAAAGTTTTGGTCTAAGTTAACACACTAGGTGACAAATGTGTGAAAATGACCAATTTGTCCTCACTTTTTGCATCCTAAACATTCTGATCCATGTCCAGGTCAAGAAAAGATTCTGCTGCTTCCATGATTTCGAGTAGCACTAGCAAAAGAGGGCAAAGACGCCAAAAGAAAAAGGGAAAAATCCGTGCTGGCAGGTACTTTGTATTCAACTTTTTTTGAGTAAATTACATTTTTGGTCCCTGATTATAACTGATTTTTGCAAATTTGGTCCCAAAAGTAACGAGCATTTATTTGGAACAAGTACCAAAAAGTGTTATAAAAGCCTCAGATAAGGACCAAAGTTGCAATAGAAGAATATGTTTTCCTTTTTAATAATTTATATATTCTTTTTGTGTCCCGATTTAAAAATAAAAAAATAAAATAAAATTGTGTTACATGGTATGCAGTCCTGATGAGGAAATGGCATTAGTGGAACATCTAAAAGGCATGTCCCTGACAGCTGGAGCAGCACGTGAGCTTAAATCTTTGTTGGGTTGTCTTGTAATGATTGGAAAAGAAGACATTGCAAGAAAATTACAACGTGTTGCTGAAAACTTTCAGTTATCACAAACAGCAGCTGTAAAAATAGCTTCAGATGCAATGACGTGTGAGAGTGTGGATGAACATACGTTTGTTTTGGAGGTTTATTTGAAGAAATTAAGGAAGGATTTGTTGCAGTCCGAGGAGTTCTCTTGGCAGTCCAAGGTTTTTGTTGCTCCTTAGGAAGTAACGGTTGTTGGTTTTTTGATTTCATTTTTTTCTTTTGAATAATTGAATTTTGGTCGAACTTTTATGGCTAGATGCGGTTATTTTTATGTATTATTTTTTTTATTGGCGAATTTTGTTAACATTTGTGATTGTTGTTGATCTATAAGATTTAGTTAAATGGTTGTTTTGCTACGTAAATGATATGTTTTATGTTTATAACTACGTTGCACCCGTAAACATTGCACATGATATGAAATAAAATAGCTATACACTTTTGAATCGATATTATGGAATTATTAACAAATTGAATGGAAGCAAAATTATGGGTGTGAAATTATTTTATTGGTTTATGTAAGGTTTAATATTTTATATGGATAATTACGAAATTAGTTGAGTTCCGTATTTTAGTTATGTTTTATAATGAGATTAATGTTGAAGTTGGTGATTTATGATGATTCGATCCATATAAATAGTAAAGCATACAATATATAATGCTTTGCTACGGATTTTTACGTGTTTTTATCGTGTGTTAAGAGTAAGAATTGATTAAACCAGTGATATTTTATAAAGTTTAAAGTTGAGGATGAAAGTAACATTTAAAAAAATAGAGATGGTGGAAAATACATATATATATATATATATATATATATATATATATATATATACACACACACACACACATAAACACAAATAGATTAATGCGAAAAAATAAATATTTTACGAAATTACGAAAATTAACAATAAATTAAAGATAATAAATTTACATTTGATGATGTTATGGTAATATAGATTTAAAGGTTGTTTTAACAATTGATTTTTTTTTTCTTCATGTACTTAATAACTTTTAAATTCAAGTTTTCATAATAAAAATATCAAAAAACATGTTTTTATTAATATGAAACAATTTCTCATGTATCATCGATTATCATTATATAGTTCAAAGTTTGGATGACTTCTTGTCTAAAATATACGGTTGAGGTGACATAATTTCATAAGTTTTCATTGTTTTTGCGTTTTCGCAAATTATTTGCATTTGCGCATCACACCTCCCATATATATATATATATATATATATATATATATATATATATATATATATATATATATATATATATATATATATATATATATATATATATATATATGAATAAAAAATTTGTGGATTTCAAACTTTTGTAGAAATTTATAGTTCAAACAATATGATCTATGAAAAAAATATAATTTATAATAATATAATTTTTTTTAAAATTTTATTCTATAACGATATAATGATTTTTTTTTAAAAGTGAAAATATATCATGTTTGATGCATGTTGAATTGATACAAATTTAAATCATTATTGAAGATAAAAAAGACACGGTCTGAATGATATATTTCGGATTTATAATAAGCATTACATAATAAAGCTATTGTTGAAACTTAGATTTAGTAGTTTGATTAGTTTCCAAGTAATATATACTTGTTTTTTTTTTATACAATATAGTGGGTTTATTAAATTTCAATAAATTCTTACCATATGAAATACAGGTTTTATTATAAATTCGATGGTTTATATATAATAGTTTCTATTTAATATGAAACTATTAAATATTCAAAAAGATTTTGCTGCATGCAATTACAAATGGAGTTGTGGTTACAAGCATATGCAAATACTTAGATTTTGTTAGATGAAAGTTTCTTTAGATTTTGCAAACCCCAAAGTTATTTAGTAGACGTTAAAGCCAAAATTATTTATTTGCACATCACCATCCCTTATTATTGAAAATCTTGATTATGCTTCACGCAACCAACTTATTTTTCAGACATTTGATTATTGACATCTATAAATTTCTTTGTAGATTATACATTATGATATCTACAAGATAAAATCAATATTCAGATATTTCTTTGGTTCCTAATCGGAAATGTTTAAGTTTTAATAAAAAAAAAATCAATATAAGAAGACATTCTTGCTAATTTTTAAAGTTGAATATAAAATTTGAGAAAATGACAAACATTTTGAAAAAGAGGGCCCAACCGGGTTCGAACCGGTGACCTCTTGATCTGCAGTCAAATGCTCTACCACTGAGCTATGGACCCATTTGTTTTATACTGTAGAATTTTTCTTTATATATTGGTTTTAAAGGCTATATTTTTATTAATTTATTTTTTACAAAATGTTATAATTATACAACTAAAAATGACAATTGTACTTTTGGGAAGATAGAATGTATATAAAGTATGTATTTGACATTTGACTTTCAAAATAGCAATTGCACTTTTAGACGTCTATAGGTGTAGTACAACAAAAATAAAATAAAGATGTCGATACGTCTTTTCGGGAAATAAAAACTGTCAAACGGAACCAGAAAAAGTTAATAATTTCATTACAAATTTCAATTTGTATGATTTTTTGGGAAATTATGGGCAAGGAAAATATGATATGCTATACTTTAATTAATAAAAATAGTGGATAGTGTTCTTTAAAATTAGTGTTTGTTAAAATATGATAAGATGCTTAAAATAATAATTTCATTTATTATTATTATTTTTTTTGTGTTTATTATCACCTGATTGTACGATTGCCTACAGTAGTTGTACATTCCCATCACAGATTTGTTCCAATCTCGTGGCGATAAATCAAACGAGATAGAAGACACGTGTCATACAAGGATTGGTTTTGATGTGCTTTTTAATAAGTTGCGGACATATAACGCAGAATGTGAATAGTAGAGGCAAAGAGAGAGAGAGAGAAAACTAAAAGGGAAGTCTTTGAAACGAGCCCTTCATTTTTCAAAAGTTTTCAATAATTTCCTTCAACAAAAAGACATTACTCAAATTTGTACCTTAATCTTTTTAAATTTTCAAAACAGCCCTTTTGTGTAAGTAGCAAGTGTCTTTTTTCTTTTTTATCATATTTTAAATTTAGCATGTTAGTGAGAACTCAACGTTTATTTAATGCTTGATAATTCATTAGTTTTAAAAAAACATATTTATATATTCTTAGTTAATATTTATACCAGCCATAAATCATATGTTTTGTATATGTTAGTGACAAACAATTTGTTCATTTGAGTTAAATATGATCGAAATTAGCAACTATAATGATAACAATAAGTCTATATCGTGATTCAGTTAACACTTAATGACAGATTTTAGTATTTGTTTTCTTACCCATATTGATTTGATAATATTGAAAAAGTTAGTTGATTCACTGATTGATTGCAAAAGGGGACCTCATAGTAAAGACATTGTAAATGCCACCAATAAATAGTTTTTAAATAATTAGTTTATAAGGTTTTATTATAACTTATATGTCTTTTTTATATTGACATTCAAACGAAACACATAACATATAGAAATAGAAATGAGCAGAGTAATTGAACATCATCATTGTTCTTTTAGGGTTTAAAGTGCAAATTGGTAAAACGTCAGGGGGGTCTCTAAAATTCGAACTTGTTAAAATGAGAGAGGACTCCGAAAAATCCCCAAATTGAAGGCAAGCAGACACGTCTTTCTCGGTCGTTGCAAAACACCCTAACATTTCTGAATCGGAGCCCTAAATTTTCTCGATCGTTTTTGTTCATCACCCTCCTTCGCCTGAAATCATGGTTACGTCTCTTTCTCACTCTATGATACGCTCACAGAAACAGACTTTGTTGACTATTTTGTTCGCATACTGCGATTGTTTGTGGCTTTGTTTGATTTGAGATATTTACTGCGATCTGTATGCGATTTAGCTGATTTTGTTAATTCGTTTGATGTTGATAGTGTTGATCTTTGTTCCCGGTGATTGATTTTCGATTATCTGTGATTTAATGTTCATTATCATGCTTAAACTCATAAGTTGACTTTGAGCTAGATCGAAGCTCCAAATTGTCAGATGCGTACACGGATCACTCAGAAGTTGCTCAATGCATCAGTCGCGATCTTCCTTTTGTCTGTATGGGGTTTTAGAACTTTATCGCAATTAAGATTAGGTCGAGATCTGTGAGGAATCTGATTCGAGATTTTGAATATAAACAATGAAATTATAGGCTGCTTTTAAGTGATTTGTTACCAAACTTTAGTTAGTTTATTGTTTGATGCGAACTACGAAGTGCTGGTGAAGTAATGTGGATCGCAGAGGCGCTAATTGTTATTTTGTGGTGGGTGGAATTAGTTTATCCTTCGACAGATTGTGTATCACTTAGATCTTATGGGTTGGTGAACTGGCAGGGCCCTTTTGTCAACTTTAAGATATGGTTGGTGAAACTATGGTCCGGAGAGTGACTCTGTGGGGCAGCTTTAAGAATTCTAATAGCTATACATTATCTGATATAACTAGAACAAGAATCTTTTGTGATGCAATTTTTATATATCGAATAAGCACTACTTGCAATTTCTTTTTTAGAACTTTATAATGCCATGCTAATATTGTTATGGTGGTGGATTGATAGGCCAATGCAGCATCAGGGATGGCTGTGCATGATGACTGCAAGCTAAAGTTTATGGACTTGAAGGCAAAAAGGACCTTCCGTTTCATCATTTATAAGATCGAAGAGAAACAAAAGCAGGTGATGGTTGAAAAGCTTGGAGAACCAGCGGAAACTTATGATGATTTTGCAGCATGTCTCCCTGCTGATGAATGCCGATATGCTGTCTTTGATTTTGATTTCATGACTGCAGAAAATGTCCCAAAAAGCAGGATCTTCTTCATCGCCTGGTACCAATAACGCTTCAATGGTTTCTTTATCATTTTTTGAAACTTAACGTAGGGTCAATTGCAGAAAAACCATTATATCTGCATAATTTTTGTGAGTTAACCGCTTATACTTTTTCTTTTTCCAATCAAACCATAAAAATTTCAGACATTTTTCCAGTTTAACTGTTTTGACCAAATCAGTATGGATTATTTGGAAAACATCAATGAAACCTATTATAAAAATTGTTATATTTTGGAAAATGTCCAAAACTTTTATTGTTTGCGTAGAAAAAATATAATATTAGTAGTTAAACGGCAAAAACTGCCCAAAACATAATGTTTTTTTTTTTTTTTTTTTTTTTTTTTTTGTAATTTTCTGTCTTATAAATTATAATGGTACCAATAACGTTTTAGTGGTGTCTTTATTTTTGTTTGAAATTAAACATAGGGTAAATTACAGAAAAAAACATTATTATATTTGGCTACTCTGTGGTTTACTTTGACCACATATGCTTAATTTTTTCCAGTTAAACCATACAAGTGTCAAATATTTTTACAATATAACCATTTTGATTTGATTTAACGGGTCACTATGGTTGATTAAGGAAAAATACAGTGAAATCTATTATACTAGGTCAAAATGGTTAAATTGGAAAATGTTGGAAACTTCCATGGTTTGATTTGAAAAAATAAAATATGGTTGATTCGTGAAAAAAAACGCCAGTCAAACCTTAATATGATAGGTTAAAATGGTTAAATTGGAAAACGTTAGAAACTTTTATGGTTTGATTGGAAAAAATAACATATTAGTTGTTACACCACAAAATTGCCCAATCAAATCTGTTTTTTCCCTTTAATATATTACAATGGTAACAATAACCCCCAATCGATTGTTTATTATTTTCTGAAGTTTAATATAGGGAAGTTACAGAATAATCTTCTATGTTTTGGGGCAATTTTGCAGTTTACAGACTAATAGATTATCTTTTTCCAATCAAACCTTAAAAGTTTCATTCAAGATATTTTCCAATTTAAGCATATTGACTTGATATGACAGTTGAAAATGTTTAGTTTGGAAAAAATGGTTAATTCGGAACAGATATTTGAAAGTTTATGGTTTGGTTGGAAAAAATAAAGTTATAGGGGTTAAACCGCAAAACTGCATAAAATAAATGTTTTCTTTTTGGTAATATTCAGTTTGTCACATAGTTTATTATTTAATACTTGTGTAAAATGTGGCATGAAATTGAAAGGTCACCTGATACTGCAAGAGTGAGGAGCAAGATGATTTATGCAAGCTCAAAGGACAGGTTCAAGAGAGAGCTTGATGGCATTCAGATTGAATTGCAAGCAACCGATCCCACCGAGGTTGGGCTTGATGTTATTAGAAGCCGAGCAAATTAAACATCTAAAATTTCAAATGGAGATGACGAGGATTCTTCATAGAATATTGTGATTTTATGTTAAATGTTTATAGTTGTTTCTGGTATGGTATGTAGTATCAGTATCAGTACGAACGAGTACCAGTTGTTACTTTCCTCAAAAGTCTTGCTTTCCGTCAAGAACCAGTGTGATTTCAGGTAAAAAAATTTGTGTGATGTTTTGTGTGATTCAAGTATTCAACACAAGTAATATGGGATTTGTATTGTATTTCAATTTCAATTTCATTTCATTTCATTTCATTTCTTACAATCATATTAATGCTATTAAACTGGAATCACCATTTAAACATGTTTGTTATACATAATTGTTGACAAAGAATAATTTTTTCAATTATTTAGTTTGACTTTGTCTCCCTGGTTTTACAAGTGGTTGTTAACTTCCGTTTGTGGGAATATATATTTTTTCAAATTTATTCATGACTTTACAAGGATCTATATTTTGAGAAACAACTCTCAGGTTTTTAAGTGCTCAAAGAAATCTTAAGCGTTTCTTGAAGATTTGAGAAGCATAATACGTTTGTTTATTTGCTAAACTGAGCACCTACCAGCATGTGTAAAAAATGGAACTCGTTTTATTAAAGCATGGAAGTGTGCATATATTGGATGCAAATGAGAACAAAGCTTGATTATAAAAGTGTGCATACAGCGGATACAATGGAGGATATAAGTTATACATCTCAGTGTGCATATGTTTATTAGACTGTATTATAGGTCCGGTATATTTGGTTGTATCTGGCCTTATTCGTGTGTTTGTACTATATAATCTGTGATTTAATAATAAGGATTCGATATGGAACTATACCAAATAACTTGGTATCAGAGAAACCCCTTCGTGTTTGTTTGCTGCTTCCTGCATCTTCCTTCTCCCTTATTCTTTTCTTGATTAAAACGTACTCATGGCCGGCTCCCCACCTTCTAGAACATCTTCAGAGAAACCCTATGGTACAACAAATATCAAAGCTTCCATCCTCATCATTCTTGACATGGAAAAACTCAATTATAATGCATGGCATCAAATAATTGATACTCATTGTGAAAGTTTCGGTGTTGTTCATCATCTTGAGCCACCAGATGACAAAAAATAATGTAAACACATAGACTCAATCATTCGTCCATATGTGGATGTATGAAACCATATCCGAGTCTCTTCTTCATATGTATTTTAAAAAAAAAATAAAAAATCGTGTTTTACTGCATGGATGTGACACGATATTGAAACTCTTTTTCGCTCCAATGAAGAAGCAAGTGCAATGCAGTTGGATCTAGAACTCTGCAACATCACTCTTGGTGATTCAATCATAAAGGTATACCTAACCCGAATAAAATCTATTGCTGACCTCCTTGCCAATATCGAAGTCTGTGTGCCTGAAAGGAATCTTGTAACGTATGTTGTTAACGACCCCAATAGAAAGTTTGACCATGTTGCAAGCATTATCCATCGTAGGCGGCCTCTTTCATCCTTCCTTGAAACAAGGTCCATGTTACTTCTCGAAAAACATCAATTTTCGAATCAATCTTCTCCAATCGCTGCAAGCCCTTCTTCCCCCACCGTCTTTGTCTCTGAACAAAAAAACAACACTTACTCCAATTGAGGTGGTATAATAATCATGGTGGCAGTAAGAGGGGACGAAACGGAGGTCGTGGCGACGATCGTGGTGGTGGTCGCAGGTCTCAATCACCGACGCCAACTCTTCCAACACCACCAAGTTAGCACTCCAGATGGACCATCTAAAATCAATAGGTCACAGGCTTCTTCCAAGTCCTACTCAACAACATTGGTAGTCGACCCAAGGACAATAGTGGACTGCCTCGTTCCAGCTACTTCATCCAACTCAATATCAGCTTTCAATCCAACATCTTGCCACTGCTCAATAGGCTTTTTTGCCCAACAAACTGGCGATACTCCTCCTTGGACCTAGTTCCAACATGCATCAAATTCGGGTCCTCCTCAACCCATTGTCCTTTCGGAAATGTTCAATGCTATGTCACTTAATAATCCTTCTCAAGACGGTTGGGTAATGGATATGAGTGCAACCTCGCATCTTCATTCTAATGCATGCATACTCCATTTCAACAACATTGGCAATCGACCCAAGGATAACAGTGGGCTGCCTCGTTCCAACTACTTCATCCAACTCAACATCAACTTTCAATCCAACATCTTGCTCCTGCTCAACATGCTTTTTTGCCCAACAAACCGACGATACTCCTCCTTGGACATGGTTCCAACATGAATCAAATTTGGGTCCTACTCAACCTACTATACTTTCGGAAATGTTCAATGCTAAGTCACTTAATAATCACTCTCAAGCTGGTAGAGTAATGCACTACAAGAAAAATACCCTTTTACGATGCGTAAAACACGACGCTCTTTAATTTATGTTACGCATTAGAGAGCGACATTAAAAAAGTGTCATCTCTTCAAAAAATTTAAGGATTTAGGTCGCGCATTACCGAGTGACCTTAAATTAGTGTCTCATGTAAAAATATTAAAAAAACGGAAGGCACTTGTGCGTCGTCTGTGAATGTCGTTTTATATTTTTTTAAGTAACGCGCGTCTCGGAGGGAAAATGAAATCCCCAAATTTTTTAAACCCCCACCTTTTTCTCCCTCGTCTCCACCCCTCATCCACATCCACTACCTCCAATCCTCATTGTCTCTTCTAGCCTCAAACTATGGCGATGCACCTTGCTTCTCGAAGAATGCTTCATTTACCACCATCGTCCGATTATGTGAGCCCAAGGAATTGAGGTAGACGAAGAAAATTATGGATCAATCGCTTCACATCATGTTTAAGGTTAAGGGTTTGAGATTTCTTCCAAATCGAACCTCACACTAAATGGTTCGATCTCCTCTCTTTTTAGATTGTTCCCTCTACTAATGCCTCGACCTTCTACCATCGATGTTGATCTTTGAATTAGCAACAAGAAGCCCTAGGGCCTCCGCCTTCACCCACGTTCTCATAGTCGATCGTGAATCGGTTTTCAGTTTCTTCCAAGATTTAACCAATACAGAGGTGGAGGTAGGTTCCGATTTCGTATCAAAAGTCTTCACCTTCAGGCGGAACAAAAACCTAGGGATCAATTCGATTAATCAGTAGCAAAAGTCAGACATAATCTCAAAACTTGGCATGGAAAGAGTCTTGAAATCCACTTAAGGTAAGTTATTCAACATGGATTGTCTATCTCCTGCTTCTTCTCTCAAATTAATAGCAGCCGGAAAAATAACTTTGAGAATGATATATGGTGCTTTCTTGATTCTCACCCAAATTGTGTTTTCTTGCAGGTTCGTTCATTAACATCGACACACAATTAAATAAGTATCAGCCAAATATTCTACAATAGAGGATGGTTTCATGGGTTCTTTCACATTTACACCAACGATGGTGGAGCTAGATAGAGAGTTTATGGTGTGTAAAATACAACATTCTTAAACCAAGGGATTCAAATAAATAGCATAACCCAAACCCTTTATGGTAATTGGGAGCCAATCAGGGGAAAACGCAACCCTCAGACCACTTTTGCTCTCAAGAAACCTATGGTACGTACAAATTTTCTTTTCTTCCACTTCCTTTTCTTATCGGTATTCTTTCTCCTCCCTTCCTCTCCGGTGGTCGCCGTTGCTGCCTACTTCTACATTGGTGGAATAGCGGTGGGATTAGCCATGTCTGTTTACTCGGTCCATGAGTCTCTGACCGAATCATACTTGCAAAGTCGCTGACTAGAAATATTTACTCACTTTTCCCTTCTACTAGACGCATATTCTCCATCCTGTTCAATCTATCTATCGCACATCTTATCTCCTTCCACCAACACCGGACCTCTTTCTGTTTATCCGATGCTCGAATCAATTTCATGAAATCAATTTGGTAGGTTTGTGGAAATCAGTTAGCGGAATTGCTTTGTATCGATTCATGAAATCGTTTTTGAAATCGATTGGTATGAAATTCTAAAATCAATTTTGGATATCTCTATTAAACTGTCATCTACATTCTCCGCTTTTCACCATTGATTCACCTTCTAGTGTTCTAGTTTTCTATTATGAACACCATAATTATTAGTTTTAGAGACGTTAGAGGGATGACATATGGTTTTTTCTTGTTTGGAGAAGTGATGGAACGTACAGGGATGAAAACAACCTCATATTTGAGAAACAGTTTCAAACAATGGAGAAGCTTTTTGAAAGGAGACCTACTTTGACCTTTGATTTCAAACAATTTGCTTTTACATGATCAAACCGTTTGTACTATTTAATGATTATATATATATATATATATATATATATATATATATATATATATATATATATATATATATATATATATTTAAAATTCTTGTTAATTTTGAGCAATGCCATGGTGGAGTTGTTTTCATAACTACAGGTTACCCATATCAAATTAGAGATTGACAAGTTTTGCATGTGATGAAGATGATTTATATGTGCTAAGTCCTGTTAAAAACGGAGTTGGTAAACTATAGCTAAAGGGTATTATAGTCAAATTAAAGTTATCATAATAAAGTTGTTATCATAGCTTTTGTCCCTTTTTAGTTGGTTTTGTTTGCATTGATATCAAGATTGAAGGGTATTTATCATCAGATTGAAGGATATTATAGTCAAATTAAAGTTGTTATCATAGCTTTTGTCCCTGTTTAGCTGGTTTTGTTTGAAGACCAAGCTCATCGTCGGCATGCATGAGTATAAAGTTCACTTAAATTTCAAAACTTGAATGAGGAGAAGGAGAACATACAGTGTCAGGTGGGTTTTTAATCAATGTATTGATCTTTTCATACAATCATATTTTTCTTTGTTGATAAATAAAGATATGATACTGCAAGGTTGTAAGAGGTGGAAGGAGGATGATGATTTCAATATTTGATATTGTTGTGGGTGATGTCATACATCTTATGATAGGCGACCATGTAATATGTTTCTCATTTCTTGTGACTTATGTTTTTGCCCTTGTTTACATTTCATTCATAAACCAGGTTCAGCTGATGGGATTTTCATTTCTGGTTACTCTCTTTCTACTGATGAATCAAGTATGATCTGCTGACATGACATGATGACGTGCCAGTTTTGATGACATTGCATGCTGATATGATATACTGACGTGTCAAAATTGATTATTTTCATGAAAAATACAAAGTTTTCATTTTTTTTGATTTTGACATCACGTTTCATTTTTTTTTTTCAAATTTGACATTTTGTTTTTTTGTTCCAAATCAAACATCATTTTTTCCAATGTTGACAATTTTCCATTTGAAACCGTATAAATATTTCTTAATACATTTTAAACCGTATAAATATATTTTTCATTTAAAAAACATATTTTGGTATAATACAATGCTTTTTTTACATTCAAATCATAATTTTGTATATAAATATGTATTACGATAAAAATAGTAAACCACACTATCTGAGCAACCTAAACCAAACCTGGGTCTTGGAGCCAGGGCGGTCCAAAGGCCGGGCGAGCTTGGCCATGGCACAGGGCATCCAGATGTCAAGGGGCATCACTTTTCATTGACTTCTTATGGGTTAGTATTAATCTAGGCCCAATTTCTGATCCAGCTGCACCGTTGGTATGAGTCCAGTAGTACTAGGGCATCGACTTGAAGGAGGCAAAAGAAAATCAGCGCTAATTTCAGAAGCCGAGTAGTCGGCATGCTTTCACACTATTTCTAAAAACGAGGAGACAAGTCGCTTGAAGCCTAGAAATTCAAATCCCGAATGAATTGCATTATGAAGACCATAAATTTTTTGAGTTTAAATTATGTATTTGTGTTTCTTGTTTGCAGTTCTAAAGGCAAAAACTTTCTTGAGTTTCTTGAGTATTATAATTTCTGGTTGTGTTATCAATAGGTTTATTTTTGGATTTAATTATAACCACCACTAGATTTGTTAAGGATTTATTTATTCTTGATGACTTAATTATAAATTTCGTTAATTTTTTGTTCTTATATTTCTTCATTTATTTATATATTTAACAACAGACTGAGATCAAGGATTTGGAAAATGATGTGGAAAGACTTTGTTATGAGTACATAAGTTTCTAATCTCTTTTCACTGTTTACCATCACTACAAACAATATATGACTGATAAGCCTACTAGTGTGGTTAACTTTTTCAGGTTGCATTGTTGTTTGAGGAGCCTAGGCATGTAAATTTCAAGGTAAAAAAGTCAACGTTTAATATTCTTGTTTAAGGATTTGTTTAATAAACGTCTATTAAGTTATATTTTATGATTTTTCAAATTACTAGTGATAGTCGTTGTATGTTTACTTCTGTAGGAGATACTAAAGTAGAGACTTTTCTGGAAGTTTATGTGCATAAATGCATTGTTGGAGTGACAAATCTAGAGTAATGACCATTATGTCCCTGGTTGATGATGATGTCAAATTGGTAAAGGTTGATGGTGTAAACCATTGGATTTGGTTAATTTTGCTCACAAACAAGAAAAAGTTGGTTAGTATTTTTGCTTAAGCCTTAAGAGTACATTGCTATTATTTGGTGGTTGTAGATTTGGATACTTGCCTCACTCTCTCAAAATGATGTTTACAAACAAAACAAAACTGTCTTTCGTTATAAAAAAAGTTATTTCGGGGATGGATGCAATTTGAATATTCATTTATATTGATTTGTCCATGAACCTAATAACGTAATTGATCTTGTTTTTTTAGAAATTTAGAGCCATTAGAAACCACAAAGTTACAATTATTAGGTAAACCTGTTGTTCTGGTTCAACTATGTCAAGAAGTTCAAAGTTATTTTTATATTTGGTTAAAGGTGAAACATCTTTATTGCTTATTGGACTTCAACAATGGGGAAAAACTAAAGTTATTCAATTTGTTATTTTTTATGGTTACTATGTATATTGAAAAGTTTCTCTTTTGTATACTTCAATGTACGCTTTATATGGAATTTCAATCTCAAAGTCTCCTTTTTTCAAGGATGAACGAGTACTGATCTTTAGTCTTAAATGTCCTTTTATGTATATTTTTATTTGTATCCTTGTGTAATATTTTGTTATGTTGATTGTATATCTTGCATTTTACAAAGTCTTTGTGTTTGTTTATCTAGTATTTTGCTAAGTTTTTTTATAAATTTTTATATCACTTATAAAAAAATAACTGAGGTCTAAGTGATAGGTTTTGAGCACTACAACATTCCTATGGTGCACATGCAACCCTAATGCTTTGGATCTAGGTTTTTCTTAAGTTATACATGCAAATTATTATCCAAAGTATAAACCCTAATCTAGCATACAATTTTCAAAATTGATAACTTAAACATAGTTAGAAGAATACATTTTCTTGTAGCTTGTTGATCTTGACCTTCAAGAGCTTAGCGTCTCAATTGTTGCACCTCTAATGGAGTCACAAACACCAACTAGCAATAGATGAACAAGAGAGAGGATGGTGGCTAGAATTTTTGGCTAGGCTTTCTTCTAGGAATCAAGTAGCCGAAGACCTCATGCCAAGGGGTCTTTATATAGTTGTGTTGCTAGGGTTTTAGACTGAAACCCTAATTCTATGCTTAGGCCTTAAGCAATCTATGAAACCCTTCTAGAAGGCCCCTTGGATGAATTCTTCTATGGGCTTCCCATATAATTCTCCACCCCTTCCATTAGGAGTCCACAATCCAACTTGCAACTAACAGTAAGTTGCAATATCAGTCCCCATACATTTAATAAGTCTCTTTTGATCACCAAATTAATTTCTGATCAATACTAATTAAATAATATGATTTTTCAATCAATATATTATTCTTATAATATATTAATAAATCATCCATCAACCTCTTTCTCATAATTCATACTGTTAAGTTGTTATGGTGAAGGCAACCCAAAAGGACCATGTTACTATCGGGTCAACTACTAATATTTTGAGCACGTTAGAATTTGAACCATAAACACTTTCTATGGTATCTCACACCGACAATAAACGTCCCGAAACTTTTAAATACATATTAAAGATATGTTTGATTTTGTAAAATTAGTTTTTTTAACATTTATCTTAATCTTACAATACTACTTTCCGATTCCTTAAGTCATTTTTGTATTGACAAATTTATAATAAGAGCAACATAAAAGTCATGTTTGATAAAACTAGCTAGAAATTGATATTTTTATATGACTGATCGAAGATGTGTTTGATAAAACTAGCTAGAAACTGATATTTTTATATGAAGTAGCTTTTTGATTTAGAACTTTTTCTCAAAATTTTTTCTTAAAAACAAAAAAACAAGAAGTTCCCATGCCGAACATATATAAAAAATGCACCAGAAATAGATATGAAAATATGATCTCTCTTTTTAACATGATAGTATTAATAGATGTGTTTTCAAATACTATAACATTTTTTTTTAATTTTCCAAGTTATGACTTGATTATTTTAAATAATTTATATACAATGCTTACCAATGATTTTTTTTAAAAATAATTTAACCAATCCCTTCGTCCACGTCTAATCAACATTTCTTTTAGGTTTATCCTTTTTGTTTTTGAAGAGTAGTGTAACTATAACAATAGGTAATGCATACTATATCACATCATTTCTTGTCCTTTCTATACAATCGATTTCAAAAAGGCAATAGACCGAACACTGGTCTACTAACACCCAACCAATTTAATTAGTTAAACAACATCAATCAACCCGAACCAATTGATGCTGTTTGAATACACTTTTGACAATTATTTAAACCATTCCATTTGGTTTGACTTTTGGCTATTTCTCTCATGTAAATTCGACAAAGAACCCAAGAACAGATCTAGTAATTCAACCCAATATTTGCTTTACTTCATGACCCATATTCCGTAAAACCCAACCAATCTCTCTGTGTGTGTGTCCATTTTTTCTCTTTAGAACATTAAAAAAACTTTCTATAAGATACTCATAAGTTATTCTTTTTGCCCCCCGCAAGACTTGAATCCTAAACCAGACCAACCTATTCATGGTGGACACTTTTCTACCAACACTTGATACTGGTAGACAACAAATCCTTTGGTCTCTTTCCTCTTTCACATGGAAAACTTAACAACATTACAACCCTGTCCAACATACCCTTTGCCAAGAAACTGTCGAAAGTGCAACCAATCCACCATTTGCGGTTGACTAAACCTTCTAGTTTCTACAAACGTATCCTTAGTTTAGAAGCATTGTGGTTGTACTCAACCTTTTTTTCTACTAATGCATCCTCCGTGTAGAGGCTTGTGGGTGTATAAGTTTTACTGTGTTTACTTTTGATTAAAACTGATCATAATCGAGTTTCTATTTTCTTCTTGATATTCAATAATTTGATGAAGTCGATATGACCAATCTATTTGTTTGTAATTGTCGAATAGTTTTTGTTGCGTTATTGATTTTTTTAAACGGAAAACACACTCTATTCTAGAATCAGTTGTAGGGTTAAAATTCAAATTTTTTTGAATTGATAATAAAGTTTACACTCATTTACACTTTTCAGTTTTCACATATATCAAATCTAAAGTGTGCATATTTTGCTGGATGATTATCTAACATGAAGACAACACACAAAAGATTCAGACATCAACCATGATATTTTATACTAATCTTGGATGATACCTAAAATGGACAAGAAGATAGCATTCATGGTTGATCTTGATTCTAGTTTCATAATCACACCAACAAATGCATGAATTTCTAGTTTTATAAACCGTAGAGAGGTTCTTGTCTATGTGGCATGCAATGGGTATTTCTAGTTTTGTAAACTGTAGAGGCGTTCTTGTCTATGTGGCATGCAATGGGTTTGCCAATTACGGATAGTTTTTACGATATAATTTGATGTATTGAGAATTGTGGAAATCCCAGTTACGTAGGGATGTGTATATCATACAGTATATATATATATACACACACACACACACACACACACACACACACACACACACACTAGATGTGTGCCCGTGCAAAGCGGCGGTGATAAATAATTCTTTCGGCGAATAGTTTCCTTACGGAAAAATAATTGTTAGATATTGTTATTAGTTATTATGTAATAAAAATTACCACTTCTGAAAAATATTTATGTTTAGACCTTATATTTATATTGATTGTTTATATATTTGATGTAAATTAATTAATATCAGTGTGTATTTAAGAAATATAAATTAACTGATATGTATGAATTTAATATTTTAAAATTGTCAATTTACTCCAAATTAAATTTCTTAATAACCTTCGTTAATTCAAGTTTTCAAACTTTTAGTAAGTATTAATGACTTTTTATGCATAACTGATTTATACAAAAAGCTTTCTACCTTATAGATTTTGAAATTCAAGATATAACTAATATGCTTTATAATATAGTATAAGATAACCCCTTTAGTTTGAACATGGGGTTCTTGAATGTTTAAACTATCTCTTAAATCTAGAAATAATTATGTAGGGAGACCCTTTGGGAAGATATCTGCATATTGATATGCTAATGGAACATGCAAAACATGCACATGACCACTCGCAACACGTTCCCTAAAAAATATAAATAAATTTCCACATTCTTGGTTCTTTGATGTTGAACTAAGTTAGAGGATAAGTACATAGCACTATCATTGTCAAAAAAGACAACTGTAACATGAGATAAGGGAAAATAAAGTTTGAGAATGAGATTAAAGAGCCAAGCATTTTCAACAACTACATTAGCTATCTCCATGTACTCGGCTTTGGCACTAGAACAAGAGACGACGTGCTGTTGTTTCGAGGACCAAGAAACAAGATTGTCTCGAAGGTAAACAAATAAACCAGATGTGTAACATCCCAAAAGTATTTTTTTTAACTTTTCAAAACAACCCATTTATTAAAAGAAGTGTTTACAAAACCATTGTTTCCAAAACTTTATTTAAAATCAGAGTCTCCCAAGATCCAAGCAGTCGTAAAACCAAGGATGTGTACGATTACGCCTTCGCCTTGCCATGGTCCTCTGAAGTACCTTAAACAAAACTAAAACTGTAAGCCAACGCTTAGTAAGTTCCCTCAAAGTATCACCATGAAAACATAACAAATAACAACATGCATTGGGTCCACCACTAAAATACTGGATTACCCCTGATCCTACAGTATGAGTCTGGCTTCCTATCGGGTCCACAACTTATATTTGGCTTGCTCCTGAGTCCACAACATAAGTCTGGCTTGCCCTTGGGGCCCACAACTTATGTCTGGATTTCTCGTGGCCCAATCAGTCATCAGAATTGAACACCAATATACAATGGATCCACTCAGTCATCGAACTGGAATACCCTTAGGCCCTTAGTACAAGTCTGGCATACCAACCGACCCTTAGCTTGTATCTGGAATGCTCTCAAGTCCTCAGTATGAGTCTAGCAAGCCAATTAACCCTCAGCTCATACCTGAAATGCTCCAGGGTTTGTTAGCTACATCACAAAGCAGTACAACCTCAACCCAACCCAATATGTTGGCATATACATAATAGATAAACATATAATCACTCAACATGAAAACAAACAGATCCACAAATCACTACCACATAGCAACATCTTATAACTAGGATACATACCTTACAAATCACTACAATATAACTGATGGGTTTTGTACATAGCAAACAATCATATGTGTGCATGCAACCTTAATTTGAGGATCTATCTTTTCACTATTAGACATACAAGCATTGAACAAAAAAACAAAAAACCCTAGGAGGCACATATAATTTTCAAAATTAACATATAATTAGGGTTAGGATACATACATTTATTGTTATATTGTAATAACAATCAAATCCTTGAAGATCTTGAACTTTGGTAACAAGCGCCACAAGCGTCACGCCTCTAATGGCTCACAAACAAACCTAGCAACCAAGGATAACTATGGAGAGAGAGAGAGAGAGAGAGAGAGAGAGAGAAAGAGAGAAGTAGAGTAGAATTCCCACCCTTAGCCTTTCTTGGAGTGCATGGGACGAAATCCAACCCTATAGGGGTTTATATACGTGATAAGGAAGGTTTAGGATAAAGCAGGTGTATCTTAGATAACCCTAATCCTTTAACTTCGTCCCTAAGGCTTCCAAGGTACCCTTAGAGCCCAAGGAAACCCTAGGACACTCTATATTTCGTTCCTCACCTCTAAGGGAGGTTCTAGAATGCTCAATGCTAAACTTTTGAACATTATCATCTTTAGTCCCTACAATTTTAATTAATTCCTTTAATCCTAAAATTAATTCCAAATTAATTTCTGATTAAATGTTAATTAAACAATATGATTTCTAGTTAACATATTATATCTATAATACATTAATAAATCATTTATCTTGATTTCAAATTAATTTATTAACCAAGTAATAAATTAATAAATCATTCTTCTCTCTTTAACAGTTATCATATTCAATTGCCATGTTTGAAGGAAACCCAAAAGGACATTGCTACTATCAATTCAAGTACATACCAATTATAGTTATGGGATTAGACACCTAATCCAACAGTCTCCATCTTGGATAAGTCTAATGGCTATAGTTGCAAGTATAACTTCAAAAATTAACTAGCAAATTTTAGCTACCAAAAGCTGTTGTCAAATTCTGACCTAGTCAGTCACGTGTCCTTAGATAAGGGATCAAATATTCCTCCATTCTACAAGATATCGTATGAACATGAGACATGGATTATAATAAATCCCCGTCCAATAGTTGTTTCCTGATTTCCGATTTATGACGACTGACTAATTGAACAAATCAAATCAGTCCAGGCTTGGCCAAGCGCTTAAGGGTGTCATCATTAAATCAGCCAGAGGGGCCCACATATATCGCTTTTATCCCACATTGGGTAAAAGGAATGGATAAACTTTGACTCATATGCTTGATCTATTTACTCATCAAATCACAAACAACAATATGATTTATAACACCAAGTTGCTGGTGCGTTTACATATTATCAATGAGCAACCGACTCGTAAACTGCAACTATATGTCTCCGTTTCAAGAATATAAGATATTATCATCTCACAATCACTCGTGATAAAACCATGAAGTGATTCATGTGAGTGTGGGTTTAATCTAATACTCAAATCTTATTTCAGGAGCACTCATGAACTCTACATCAAACTTTTGCTATGTATAAATGCTTTAGATAATCTACAGTTGGATTCATCATAGTCTTACCTTATTACCTACTTCCAAAGTATGATTGACTGTGGATGTTTGAATAACATAGTTATTCTGGAAGTCAAAATATGCAATGTGAAACACAAGAATAATCGAATCCAATACGTCCTCAAAACTTGTGAGTATAAATAAAACACCTTTTATTTAATCACCCATTATTCATTGTATAATGTTTCGAGTAATCAACTTAATACTTGAATTGAAACAATAGTTGTCCCATGCTCCAAGCATGCACACTATGTTTATCTATGGTCCTTACTTTATGAAATAGATCAATTGAACACATTTCCAATGATGCTCATTTCAAAATTCCCAATCCTTGTCACAAGTGTAAGAATACCAAATTCTTGTTATGTGTTAGATTCTAACATTTTAGCAATGATCATTTTGTAATGACATAGCACCAAAGTCACAAAGACTTTTCCAATGAAATTACAAAGTGATTTATTGGAGATTGTTACAAGACAACTCCATAAATATGAAGTCTCACATTCAAAGTACATTCCATTAAACCTCATTCTTGCATAAAAGTTTCTAATCTACATAAATTCTTAATATCCAACTCCCATTATGGAAACATTTCCATATTTGCCATATGATAACACATTCTAAACAGAATCCTATAATAATAATATCAATATGGTCCATCTAATACTATACTTGCAACTGCCCATAAGTGACCAATCTTTGGCGAACCTTAAATCGTCCTTGACAGTTGTTTAACTTACTTTAGTTATATCCGGTTCCAATTTCCTTTTCCCTCTTAATGCCCTAGGCATTTGGAAAAGACAGAACGGTCGAATATTATGGCATATGCAATCGATCCTATACCCAAAGTGTATGAGATACGATACATAATATCTTACATAAAGACATGATACTTTACCAGTCTCCTGCTATAATATTGCTATATAGAGAATTCCCTTATATGTCAATAGAAAATTGGTTGAAAGTTGGTTTATGGGGGTTACATCCATTTTGGTGCCAAAAAGACGGTTAAATATGATTATTTAGAAATAAAAAAAACTGACATCATCATGATGCAACAACCTAAGTTTAGCAAGAATTTGCATGACCAGACTCTTTCCTGATATAGAAATCCATTTTGGTTTCAGGGCGCTACACCTAGACCCCACTAGAGGCATTGCCCCCGGACCCCCGTATACCTGAGTTCACATTAGACTATCTGAGTGTGCACCCCGTACCTCCAATCTCAGAAAGCAAACAAAACTCAACTTGTCTTACTCGCAATACTAATTACACTAAAATATGTTGATAACACTAAAATCACCAACATTTTCTTTTTAATTTATAAGCTAAAAAGTTTCTTAAAATCCTGAAAAACTCATTCTCCAACATATCTTTAATTAACTTGATTTGTGTATAGTTGGGTATACTTATACATTGGTTAACTATGCTAATTTTTAATAAAATAAATATAAGGAAAATGACACATTA